ATAGTGCTTAATATTTTTTTTCAAGATTCTTCGATGAATAGGAAGTTCAAAAGAACAGCATTTATTATTTGAATGCATATTTGCTTAATTAAAGTATTAATTTCTGTCTGAACGCCCTAAAGTACTGTCAGCCTGTATTTATTTGTGCAAAGCAGGATTTAGAGCTTTTGTCTACATTAAGACCAAACAAACAATCCAAGAAGGGTCATTCACACAGGATGTGTTCTTGTGTTCAAAACTAACTTGGTGGAACACAACAGAATGGAGCAAAACAACTTTTAACTTTTAACTCAGAGCTGAACTACTTTTAACTTGACATGGCACTTGAAAAAAAGTTAATAATGGAATTTACTAAATAGTATGTTAATCCTGTAATGTAAGTAGAGAGAGAGAGAGTGTGTAAGAATGTTGGAACCTAAAAAATAAGTCAAGGAGCAAAAGGTTTTGGAACCACTGGTTTAGATTCTCCCTTTAAACTGATATGAGGTGTGATTTCAAAGTTCAATTTAAAGAAATATTAGTACTTTAGAAAATGTACAGGCACAGTAATGCATCTGAATCAGTTCCACTTAAATTTCCACAATTACACCCCTAAATTTATGTCTAGTTAATCCTGACCAATCAGAGTGCAGCTGGAACTTCCTATTTTTAAAAATACTCTTCACTTCCTCTTCTAAACCAAAGCAAAAATGCTTTTTATCCTCCATTTAGCTTAACTAAATCTCTGATGAACTAGAAAATACAACTATCCAGTCAACAGAAAAGCACTAACCATTATTAGAATTCAACTTTACCTAACTACTGTGAATCTGCTTAGTATAACCAAAGAAAATTCTAATGAAGCACAAGGTCTTATACATGTTTTCTAGCAAGTTAACATTCAATGAACTATGTTTGATAAAGTACAACAACTCAACAACTCAAAATACTTACAAATCTAGCATGTGTGGCTGCCTCTGTGATGAACGGCGCTGGTGTCACAGAAGAGAAAGCAAACACGCCTCCGTGACAATGGAGATGGAGGGGGCTGGGCCTGTCTACAAATGAACCTATTCACTTCTTAAGGGAGACGGTTCCCTTTACATTCTCTTCCTCTTCCTTTCCTACGCTGGCCTGCGAGTCCCTGCCTTCGAAAAACCAGCCTTGACTGCCGCCTAAAATAGCCCTGGGAGGTGTTGGAACTTTGATGTGGTGGACTGTTGCATGAATGATTTTCTCTCTCTCTCTGTGTCTGTGTCAAGTCTGAAACAAATAAGGCTGATTCAATTTGAGCCTTTGCCAACTCTGCCGTCTCCTGAACCTGAGTCTATCTTCATTGCCTGAGCAAGACTGTGAGGTTTTGTCAAACAATGCCATTCAGTGTGCCAGCTCTACCCCTTCGAGATATATTTACCCAACATTCCCTCATTAAGGAACAAGGCTTCTTCTGGGAGTAGATTTTGTGTCTTTGAACAGAGACGTTGCTGTTTTGAGTTAAATAAATTAAGAGGGCTCAAGGGCACGAGTGCTTTAAGATATTTGATGGTCTATTCTGGGGCCAACGATAAAAGTAGTACACATGATCTTTGTCAAATAACTGTTAATATACCTTGTTCATAATCTAGACATGTAGCACTCATTCAGTACATTTCCATGTGCAGTTATAATCAAGCTACAGTGGGTTACATTGGGCAAACTCTCTGTTCAAGTATATATGACCAAATACTTAATCGAATATTTGATGAATAAAACATGTCACCTGTTACCATGGAGCAAGAGCACAATGCTGAGGCCATGTTTACATGCTAGACAAAGCCGGGCTAGAATTACATTATCTAGATCTGACTTCACATAAACCAAAATGGTGTGATGATGAAGTGCACAATATGTTTTTCCTTGCTATTGAGTGCACTTGTCTGGTTTAGTGTCGGTAGCAAATGTATGATGTCCTGCTGTGGTAAAGCCTCAGTAATCTACAATCCCATTACTCCTATACGGAGCAAGTTAATGGGATTCCAGACCCCTGGATCAAAGCACACTACAACATGCCAGTTTCAATCAGCAGCATATTTTACGCTCTTTTCCTGGATTAAACAGCAAACAATACAAACCCTTTGTATGAGACAACTGTCCTCTTTGGTCTACATCTGCTCAAACTGTGTTAGTGAACATCTCCATGTGGCTGTCTAATTAAGCAGTTTGTGGAAAAATTACTTATTCTCTGCCATTTATGAATCAGAAATGTTCTGGACATATAGACATATGTAAGGATTGACATATTTTTGAGATTGTTGTTTATATTTTTTCTCTTATTTTCCAGTTAAAGACCTAAATATCCTAAAAACAAGATAAATGTACTTAATACAAACTTAAATGAAGATGCACTACTTTTCAAAAGTTTGGGGTCAGTAAGATTTTCTTTTAAAGAAATTAATACTTTTATTCAGTAAGGACGCTTTAAAATGATGACAAGTGACAGTAGCATTTATAAATTAATGTTACAAAAGATTTCTATCATTTCAAATAAATATAGTTTTTTGTCCTTTCTATATTTGATAATAATAATAATAATTGTTACTTGAGCAGCAAATCAGCATATTAGAATTATTTCTGAAGAATCGTGTGACACTGAAGACTGGAGTAATGATGCTGATTATTCAGCTTTGCCATCACAGGAATAAATTATTACATTTATTTTTATTAAATAAATGCAGCCTTGGAAAGCATAAGAGACTTATTTTTAAAATAGTGTAAATTCTTTGCATAAAATTCATTTGATAAAATTATATTTTTGTATGGAAAACAAATGATGACAAAAATAATTTTATGGGAACAAATGAAAAAAGAAAAGAAAAAGAAAACAAATGAAGACAAAAATACTAGATATTTGTACAGTATGCCAAATCAAATACAAATTATTCTAGTAAAACAATCCAATTAAAATGATATTTTAATGGGATGAGCAAACAGAGAGTGTTTAAAAGGATTCTGGGATGTCTTACCTGTCCCGCTGTTCTCCTGCTTCTTTCCAGATGATTTATTCTCTTGTTTAAAGGAATTCTCATCATCTGCATCCCCATCGCCCCACCAGGATGGCTGTCCATACAGTGGGGTTCCCCTGTGCAAGGCAGCTATATCGCCTGTTATAGAGAAGAAAATATTAGCTTTGCTTTGAGGACACAAAGATTAATATACATACAGTATACACAATGCTCATGTTTTACATATACATTCTCGTTCGTGTTTACATATGTCACTGATCGCACCATACTTGAATGAATGAATAAAATAACACATTACAGTAAGTTTTCATTTGTAAACATTAGTTAACAAACCTGAACCTTAATTTCATAAAGTAGAAACTAAATAAGTGTTTCTGGTCTGTGGAGGGTAGAACACTTTCCATTTGCACAGGATCACTCCAAACTCAAGTGAATTGATTCAATGATATTGATTCAGTGATTCCTAGTCGTGTTATTCACAGATGGATCATGCAACTTTAACAGCCGGGGGCTAAGGGACTTTTAGACAAGCCTGACAATTAGCAGGATGAAATAACCAGGTGGCAATGAGATAAGAGCGCATGTTAAACGCTACCCACCCTTGAAACACTGATGGGTGAAGAACAGGCATGGGCGTAGCGCTGTTCCCTTCCCTATTATTAAATACCCAGCACTTCACGACAGGGCTGGACCACAGTTCTAATTACATAGGGTAACACATAAACTACATGTGTGTTTAGATGAGTTAAAGTCTCAAATAAACCCAATGAAGCTGAGGTTTACAGTGATTTTAGAAAAAGCTTATAAGGGCCGTTTGTTAGGCATGACGCTACAGCAAAACATTTTTTTTTAAATAATCTATTGATAACAAATAATACTTCGGTCAAGCAATGTACTTCTTCAGCAATGTGTTGTCAAGAAACACACAGAGAAGCAGCGCAGTAATACTGATTTTATGAGGTCACAGATGTGTGTTTATAGAGTATTTTACAACACCTTTGAATGCTGCTCAGCCAATCATAATCAAGGATCAGAACTATCCATTTTATAATACATTTTAACATACTTTAAAGAAAAATGAGTGGTGCTAGACCGTGCTAAAGTAGCCACCATCAATACTAGAGTTTTGTGGGTGGTTACCAAGAGCTTGCTATGGGGTTGCTGAGGTCTTCTCAGTGTTTTTTATCATGTTACTAGGTGGTTTCTTACTCATCTAAGTCAAAAGAGCCCATCCCAATTATCCTCTCTAATATGCTAAAACCTAGATATGACTCTGTGAATAAGTCTATGTGATTAAAATGAAAAGAACACCTCTCCTCATCAAGCTGCATGATTTGAAGTATTATTCATGCCCATAGCACAAATGGTCATCAATGGAAAATTAATGGAACTGTGCTAGCCATTAAGAGTTGACAATGTCATCCTTAATTTTCCACTTTCCATTACAGGGGAAAAAAACAGATGCAATCTTCTCTTTAAGGCTGGCCCACACTAAACGATTTTTAAAATGTGGGAATCACAAACATGATGATAAAAAAAAAGTTTTTTCCATGTAATTTGTGAAGTGCCAGGATGTGACCAAGACAGGTCACCACACACTAACAGATTCCATTCACAAACAACCAGAGTCCCGACTGTGAATACGAGAAATCTCGCAAAAATCTCTTGCGGTCAAACGTGACTTTAGAGTAAACAAATATGCCGGAGGGGGGCAAGAAGAAATGACGATAATAGTGTTTGGACTGCTTTTTACAGAAAAATCGAGGAAAAAAAGAAAAAGCTGATTTATATCACCTTGCTCTGGTGAAAAGGGACAATGGATCAGTCAGATGGGGTACAGTAGTGGCTAGTCCAGTATTACTCATTTAAAGAGTCACATTATTTAATGATGAATCATTGTTTTGCATCACCTGCAAAGTAGTTTAAAGATACAAATACAATTATCCATAGCTTACACCCTGACATCATGAAGATGGTTTTTACCTTGCATCTTGTCATCGCCTTTGTTAGCCTCTGCAGGTTTGCCTGCTGTTTCAGCAATGGGCTCTGAAGGTTTTTTCACTTTGGCTTTGTCTGGAGAAGACTTGGGGGATTTTAAGGGCTCTGCACAGGTGGGCTTCTTGCCCAGTTGAAGTTGGCTGGTGAACTTCTCATGCTGACAGAAAGGAGGGAGAAGAACACAGTAAGTGCCAGAAACCTGTCATCAGACATTACTTCAGGAAGATAAATGCATTACATAAGACAAGCACATGCAATTCTGATAATACAAGTGCCAATATCTTTATAAATTGATGATGAACCAGCATATTGTTAGCCATGTTAACCGATTCAGAGATGTAGTAATTGTTTTACCTTCAGAGCCTCCTCTGGCACATGTAGCTCTCCTCGCACCACAGTGAACAGGTTGGTATGTGAGTCAAGTTAAGGAAGACTCATAAACAGCTAAAACATGTTGAATGAAAATACACATTCACACAAAGGCTCAAAATTAACTTTCTGCCACCTTATTGAACAATGTTCACACACATGGGCAACACTCACAAATACTAGGCCATGAAACCATATACATCTAGGCCTACTTCTCATGTTTTGTCATGCACACACACAAATCTTCCACATTATGAGTGCATTAACTAATTCAATTCCAATGATTCACATATTAATAATACTACGAATTACTATAAATACCATCCGACATGTTTGGATAATGTCTTCCTCTGGCATTCCAAATAAATGAACATGAGTGAAGAGTTTTCTTCCTTCTACCATGTGCTCTCTGTGATCTGTGGTGCCTCCTCCTAGCAACAATGGTGCAAATACCAGTTAATTGACAACTACAAACCTTAGTAAATCACGCTGCATGATTATTTAAATACTCTCCTTTAGCGTCTGAAAGGGAAACTCCTACAAATGCATATGCATTAAGGTCAGCTGCAAAAATAGCTGACCACGCCTTTTCATCATTCATTTTTCACTGTGTGTCTTTAGTAAATCCCGACAGTAGTTTTTTAACACCAAAAGAGGGTTTGAACTGGCGCAAGCTGTTAGCAAATCTGGCCCTAGTTCTTGAAAGCTTTCAGAGGAAAGTGCATTGAAGGATATCATATCCAAACCTCAGTTTGTCATCAATCTTTAAAGTGATGTACATCTGTTCCTGGATCCTGACATCATTTACAAATGTCTGAAAATAAAAAAAGACAAATAAAATTCACATTTTAAAGAGCTGTTCTACTTGTACTGGTTGAAATACTTTTATAAAAAGTTCAAATCACAGACACAGAAGTTAATTTCTAGTTCACAAAATGTACTGTACCCTACATAGGACAAGTGGTTTGGAGAATAGACAAATGGATATGAACTGTTTTGTATATAATCTTTAAAGACAATGTTAATTAAAAACATTAGAAAAAAGACTTCTTCTAGTCCAAAATGTTAAGAAGCATTTATGGAGCCTTAAAGTTCCCATGAAATCAATATTGACCCCGTTTACTTTGTTACCGCACTTTGTTTGCTATCGCAAGTTAGTACGCAGAAAAGAAACTTATTTGTGTTGGTAATCTTTAATCAAAATCTGAAAAATTTTGCTTCCGCTCTGGAATGGCGTTCTCCTACTGTCAGTCTGGTAATGAGTGAGGGAACCCTGCCCTCTATTCAATACTCTGTTTCACTTGGAAATACGTCACAACATTGAAGTCGGTCGAAACTTCTGGTTAACAGGGACTTTAGCCTTTTAACGTTTTATTCTAGAAGAAGCGCCTTTGACCTTTTTTTCTGCTGTTTAGGATTGAGATCCAACCAAAGAGCATCTGGGATTATGTCACGACTCACAAGGTTCTTCCAACAAGTAATGTTCCAAGATGTATTCCTCTAAGCCTCCCTGTTATTTTAAAAAAAAATTTTTACTGTATTCACATATTTCCTACTAGTTATATATTCCATATATAACCAGTAGCTAATTAGTTACAGTCTTGAACCATGATTTGCTATTTGCTAGTCAGAGGCAGGTTGTATTAGAGGGAAGGATGTTCTCATTTAGAGAGCATTTGATTGGACAAAAGTGTAGTGCAAGATGAGAATATTTTTATTCTCTTCTGTTTTCCCAAGTTTTAAATGTGCATATGCGTATCCTAAAAGGAAATGATCAACATTTAGAAGTATTTAGCATAGCTAGTAGCATATAGCATATAGATCATCTCAAAGGTAACACACACACAAACTAAAAGCCACAAAACACTAAATCTGATTTCATATGGTATTTTATACAGGAATAATGTAAAGTTTGAAACAAAACAAAGACTTTCCTTTGCCAAAATATTAAAGGATTAAACAGCTCAATCTGGGCTTTTTTTCAAAATCCACTTTAAAATTATACAAATTGAATAATAATGATAAGCTTATGGTTTAATCTAAAAATCTCCTTGATTTCCAAATCCCCATCAGAATGTACCTATACCTAAAGATCACCATACACAGCCCATTCATTAAGGCAGCAAGACATTATTTAATGAGTTCGACTTCAAAAGTTCAGTGAACAAATGTTTTACAGATACCTCTAAACATATCACTACAGTGAGAGCCACCTCACAAAGTCTGAAAACCTTCAAGGTGGTTATAGTAAGCTGTAAGGTCTGCTCTGTCTCAAATATCATCCACTTCCTGCAAAGCCCAACAATAAGGGGGAGCTAATCGCACTGACAAAGCACTTTCTAGAGCATTCAAGTTTAAAATTTCCATTGAAAAGCTGAATCAATCTCCTCCTCTGTCCTTCCAACAATATCCAAAGACCTTAAGATATTCTTCTGGAATGTGGGGTCACAGTAGGGGAATTTGTGCATGCTCTTCAGTGGCTGACTGCACGTTATTTCCCTTCATTCTGTTCAGTTTTCAACATGTGCCAACTTCAACTAAAGGAATATGGTAGCTTCATGCAACGTCTGGGCTTGTTGTGTGAGGGTTTTGTTGAAAAAGGATCCTATGTCAACATAAGTGTAAACTCCTAAAAAAGGTGGATAATATGCTGCACACACTATAATAGCCATTTCCTGCCAAAGCAGGACAGGAAGAGGAATTCTTAAGCATGACTCAACAGGAAGAGGTTGTAATTTGTGTGAGTGGCCCCACGAGTTCTGATTTAGTCATGGAGATTCTGCTGACCTCAAACAGACAGACATAATCTAACACAAACACAGAGCACAGACTCAGGAAAAGCAGGCTGAACCTTAATATATTACTAAGGTTTAGAACTACCAGATAGTTCAAGAATCAAGTATGAAGAGGGAAGTTTGTATTTAATCTGTGTCAAGATTCAAAAAGAGGCTGAATATACATAAAACGAAAATTAAAACTTTTAAAGAACCTAGCCTGTATTTTTTTTTAATAATAATGTTTTGCTGACTGTACATCATCCTGCATATTACATGCTTTATGTACAATTTTCCACAATTTGTTTATTTAAAGGCAGTGGAATTCATTTATCAGAAATGTACCACTCCATTCACTTTCGCTCTTACTCACCCCATTCAGGCTTCCTAGATCCTTCACTTTGTGCTCGTCACTGCTGGACTCATAGTTGATGACAGCGTGCTGCTTGTCTACACTACGAGACTGCAATAACAGACAGGTAAAAAAGCAGGAGTTACTACCCTGAGACAGTTTGCGCTGAGCATTATCACTTCATAGATTTGTTATTATTAGAAGCTAGTTTATATGCAGTCACAGAAGTATTTTACCTTGTAGCAATGATAGAATTTGAAGGTGACATATCTCACGTTTGAAACATACCAGACATCGAAAGAGAAACGTTCTCTCACACAAGTATTACAGATTGGTTGTAGCCTCAAGTGAAGTCACATCACATTAGCGAAATTTTGTGGACAAAAAAGTTCCATTGTCTATTGTCAATAGCATAGAGATGTATGCAGCAAAACCCACAAAGAACTCACTTTCAAACCAAGCTATTTCTGCTGGTCAACACAGTAAATTAATTTGACCAACTTGAATATGTTGCAAAATCTCAATGGGGAAATCTTTCACCCTTTTGTAAAATTCCTGATCACATGGACTCCTATTGAATTGACTGTATTTTGCCCATTAATATTTGCTGATAAATGGTAATTGTTTAATGTTAAATGTCAAAATTAATGGTTTAATTCATCTTCAGGCACTGTAATAATGAGCTCTCTATTTTAATAATGTGGTGATCCACTAGAGGAAAGGCCAATCTCCACATCTCTCGTTTGCAGACATTTTAATGACAAGTGTAAGTTGCTCAGCATAAAACAAACATTAAAATGAACAAATAAATGCAACCACAGAAGTTTAAGGTGTAGAACCTATATATACACCTAAAATGAGTGTACATGAGCACAGTGGCTCTATTTTAAGCCACTCATATCATCCTCAGTTCAGTGATAAGGAATCTAATACTTTACCAATCTATTTTGAGACAAACCATGTGACCACTAAACGTATTGTAACGCAATCACATGATATTTATGCCTGACCCTAACATGGAAGGGTCAAAGAGGGAAATGGGGGTTTCCTGACTAAACAAAGCCTGGTTCATGTCTACCCAGAGACTAGTGTTTAAACGTCTGAAACCCCAGAGTCAGTTTGTTCATCTACAGTCTACTATACTCACCATTTTAAAGACTGGTCTATGAGCAGTATATGCTAGCCTGTGTTCACTATGTACTGATAACTGGATTTAAGAAAAGGCTTTTTGTTATTGTTTTGAGGCGCAAAGAAGATATTTCCATTAGAGACTTTTGACCAAAATGTTTACTCAAGCCCTCAGAAGGCCCTTTTCACCACAGAGGTGCTATGTGTTGTGAGAGGTATTTAGTGCTTTGTTGTGTGGTTGCTAATGATTCTATGAGTTACACAGTACACAGCTTTTCTTCAAGTGGCTGATATTACAGTTTGTGTAGTGACACGTCAAGTTTGTTTTGTAGTTTGACCAGGTTACTCAGCTCTCTAATGATATGACTGACACTCTCTCTCTCTCTCAATGTTTGGTATTACAGTCTATGATCTCGTAGTTTGACACTGGAGTACAACTATAACTACATCATGAGCTGTTTGCCCCACTTTCTATTAATAAAGCAGCATGACTAACACATGTATACTGATGCGGAGGTAGATAGTAACAGTCATGCCACTTAGGAACACAACTTTCCTCCTGGGTATGACTTAATCTCCATCCTTCCTATGATCATTACACAGAGTTTGTGAAGTACACTAACATTCAAAAGTTTAGGTTCTTGAAAGTCTTTTATGCTCACAATGGCTGCATTCATTTGATTAATAATATTTTAACATTTTAAAATGTGATTTTTTCCTGTGATGGCAAAGCTGAGTTTTCAGCATCATTACTCTAGCCTTCGGTGTCACATGATCCTTCGGGAATCATTCTAGTATGCTGATTTGCTGCTCAAGAAACATTTCCTATTATTATCAATGTTGAAAACAGATGTGCTGCTTAGTATTTTTGTTGAAACGTGATACTTTTTCAGGATTCTTTGATGAATAGAAAGTTTAAAATAACAGCATTTGTATAGAATAGAATAGAAATCTTTTGTAACATTCTAAATGTCTTTACTGTCAATTTTGATCAATTTAATGCATCCTTGCTGAACAAAAGTATTAATTTCTTTCAAAGAAAAAAAAAACCATATTGACCATTAAACTTTCAAATGGTAGTGTAACAGCTCTCCAAAACCTTGCTGTCTACTACCTACATAGGCAAGCTGCTTTCTAAGGCAGTATCCAAACCAAAAAGGAACTTCATAAGTGACAGATTTTGTACATTCTACATAGGAAGCAACTCAAGCAATTAGCGTTTAACTCACATTTAATTCCAATGGAGTTTGATAATAGCATTTCACGAAGTCTGTAAAAAAAAAAAAAATGTCTGTATTGATTGAAACTAATAATACATGCAATGTTGCCTTAGAATTTCTAAATTTCCAGTAGCATAAGTTTGGGGCACGGCTACCTGTTTGAAAAAAGTAATTCTTTTTGCAATTTTACTGGGTGATGCTAATAGTTCTAAAATTACACACTTACATAAAACATGACCATGATTCAAAAACATGGTCATAATACCATCAAAATAGTTTTAGTCATTTTAGTACTTTAACTTTTTTAAATTTAAGTTTTTCATATTTAAAGGCAGGGAACGTGATTTTTTTTTTGTTATGGTGGTTGAAAGTCTCTTAACATCCAGATTGCAATCACTGTTAAATGGTCTAAATGTATTTATATCGTATATATATATATCGTCTGTGGAAGGCTTAGGACCATAAAATATTTGTGGAAATTAATCTGCAGCAGTCAGGTGGTACCGTGGTACAACTCTATAAGGTATTTATGTTCATTATTATTGTAATGTTAGGATATATGCTTTGAGACATGATGTAGTTTAACGCAGTCTCACGTGACGCATTTGTTTGCTCCCTGCTATACGGAAGCGTGGCTTTGGAGACGTTCTGAAGGAAGGGTGGGATCTTCTGCTTTCAAAGCTAGCTCCCTATTGCTAGCCTCTCCAAAAAATTGACTACCCTACCTTTAAGTTTTTCATGTGATATTTCTATTTTATTCCAGCCTTATTTCAATTAACGAAAGCATTTTTAGTAGTTTCACTTTTAACTGAGATACACCCTTCCTGACCTGTAGCATAAGCTCGCAGTCATCGCGACCCACAAAGATCATCTCGCGGGGCAGCCGGTGCCGCGTACCCCCGCTGCTCACGAGGAACCAGGACGTGAGGCTCATCTCTGCACTCTTCTCCAGCCTCAGTCCCTACGTCATCCTGATGGACAGATAAAGAAAGAGAGACATTTATGAAAAAACTTTCAATCAATATACATTCCATTTCTCACATATAAACTTTTACAAAACTTTAATAAAAAAAGTCGGCTTTTATAAAGAGATCACGTCCCACATAGACGTTTAAATTTGAACCGACAGTGGAATGTGGGTGGAGGGAGAGAGAGAGAGTGATCCGTTAGACCGCGCTGAAATCTGCTGCATGCTGACTCTTTTCTGAAGCTACAGAAGCCTGGGACACTTCCCTCCTCCCTTGCTGCCTATGATCATTGCCAGATGCGGCAGGAAGTGATGTAGGCAATTTGGCTGCACACCCTACTGGGCTCTGGGATTTTTTTTTCCCCTTTCTATGAAAAGGAGGTCACATTCAGCTGCTCCGGGCTACAGCTGCAAATGGTCTGGGAAGAGGAATTTAATGTATCCTCCTGACATACAAACCCACTAGCTCCTTCTAAGTGACCCAGTGATACTCTGGAACCTCCTTTATTTTACAAAATACATGGTACTCCAAAGTATACCATGGTAGAATATGGTATGTCCAAAAACAGCATTTCAGTCTAAAACATCATCGAGTTATTTACAGCAATGAACAACCTCAAACACAGATGGACAAACGAAATACAGAGTGGATCTCACTGACATCTGACAAGTCTCTAAATAACTGTATTTATTGAATAAAGCACGTCTGTCACCTGGAAGACCCTCACCACTAATATCATACAGCACTCACAAGCAGCTAGGGCTACTTCACATTGGATATTGTAAAATAACTTTTTATTAGCATACTGTATCACTATGACAACATATTGATCAATAACGGGTGCCATTTTGATAAATGGGCCCCATATTTGCTGAGAGTGCACTATGATTATACTGCTTGAGGAGCTGGAACACAATATCCACTCTCTGAAATACAATACAGCTGAGTCTGCCCTCCACTTACAAATTCTAAAGGTCTACTAGTACTTATGGATGTAAATTAGATGTAACCAATATTTTTTAAATCTACATAATTTAACACACTAAATATGAAAATCTAATAATAAATTGTTTAGTGTTTTTCATTTTTTTCAAGTTTGTAATGAGAATGATTTACTTTAGTCTATTCTGTACTTTTTGACAAATATATACTTTAGTTATAGGTCTGCATTTTTTCCTTTTATAAGACTTTTTTGTATAATAATAGTAAAGGGGAAAAAATAAGAATGTATTTAAATTTCTTGTATAATTAATAACTCTTTTGTCAGCCTGCGTCTAATGCGATAACATATGGAAGCTTGTTTCTGCCACGGAATAAGCAAATGTAAAAGATAATTTGCAACTTTTTATCTTAAAATTCTGCCTTTTTTCACAGAATTGCGTGATATAAAGTTGCAATTGCAAGTTATTAAGTCAGAATTGTGAGAAATTAACTCGCAATTCTGACGTTTATATCTCACAATTTTGACTTCTTTTCTCAGAATTATGAGATATAAACTCGCAATTGCGTGTTATAAAGGCAGAATTGTGAGAAAAAAAATCTGAATTGTGAGTTTATATCTCGCCACTCTGACTTTATAACACGCAATTGCGACTTTTTATCACGCAATTCTGACTTTATAACTCCCGACTGCGACTTTATACCTTGCAATGTTGACTTTATAACATGCATTTTCGACTTTTTATCACACAATTCCTTTTTATATTTTTTTATTCCATGGCAGAAATCAGCTTCCATAATAACACAATTATATAACAACAAAAAAGTATTTTGTTTGAAAAGCCCAGTACTTCAAAAAAGAAAGTTCCAAAACTAAACCCTGTGAGTGTTTTTATTCATCAACAGAGGTGTGATATTGGCTGTAGGATTGGGACAATGTGTCGAACAGGAATACGTTTTTATCTTGGGAGCTTGCAAGAAATAGCTGAATACTAGCAGCTGGGTTTTCTCTTTTCTGGAACACAAGCATTAATCGAGCAACCGCAGGAAAGCCTTTATACCCGTCAACTACCCACGGAATTCAGGAATAAGCACAACGTGGCATTGGCGCTCTGATGTGGCGCGATATAAAATTTTATTTTAATAAGACATAAAAGAGCTTTGGAAGCTGGAGAATGTTGGTCGTCAGTACCTTCTGAT